TCATAGATTTCAAAATAAGAACCTGTTTCAAATCTTAGGCTGAACAGGTTTTTATATAGAGGGGGCTCATCTGGCATATTTTAGCCTAACGGGTTCTTAAAATTCAGGTTCTAAGTCACAGGGTTTTACTGTACTACCAGGATCCACTACTGCAATAACTGGTCAACCCAAAAGCCCACTTTACGGACAACCACTTAACACAGACACCAACGTTTCCTCTTGGGTGACTAGAAAATCTCAGACTTTTCATACAAATCATATGCTGGGCAGCCTAGATTTTACAGGTTCAGAGAACTGGGTTCCTTTCAATGTTCCTTTAGAGCACATCCTTGCTCATCATTACAGACAGCTTGCTTTGTTCCCTGCAAAAAAGCTCTTTAGTTTTCTCTAAGTTTTACGGTCAACTCAGTGTCCGTATAACATGGTTTGACTCTTACTATAATGAGACCTATGACACCATACTTGAATTGGAAAAAATTGGGGGGAGGGAGGGTCATTACAAGAAAGGAAAGGTGTCTCCAGCTATGTTGCCCGAGCCCTGATTACAGGAGACTTGTAAACATGTATGAATTTCACATTTTCAAGAGTTTTTATAATACAAAATGTCGCGTACCCAGTACAGCGGACACGGGATGTTGTGCACTGGAGATCGGGAACTGTCAACCACAGTATAAAATTTAACAGCACAAGTTGACTCAACAGCATTTAATACGATCACCAACTCGTCTGAATTATTGTACACATGCGGTGAAAACTAAAAGGGGAAATTACAATGTACAAGATCAAAAAAGGGGCTGAGGCTAATTACAAAAGAAGCAAAATTGAAAGGAAAACGAAAACTAAATACAATACGCTGAAACTTACGTCTGATCCTGTCTTAAGGGCTAGAGAAACTCCGACGTTACGTAACTCCGAAAAAGATAAAACCGCTCTGAAAACTCCGACGTTGCTCCGTAGATCTCCTAACTCCAACTCCGCAAAAACTAAAGGGACGTTCTCTAATAAGAGTACAATTCATGTGTACAGTTGTAAAACCGGTTAGAAAACAGGAATGACTAGCTACGTAATTGATTCAATCTGTGAACAATAGCACATGAAAATAGGGGCGTAAAAACTCGATAAATGAAACAGAACAGAAACGTATCTTATCTAAATCAAAACAAAACTAAGCTTAATTACGTAATCAAGTTCTCTTTGATTGAATGTTCATTGTTCATCACACTCCTCGCCCAAGGATTCTTATCCTTGCTATTCATATTGTCTTGGCGTTTACTGCTGGTCTGGATAAGCTGTGTCGGTCAGGAGTAGAACTAGCTCCTTAATTGGTCTAAGGTAGGTTTTCCTTTCTCCGTCCCTAACAACGTTTACTTTGACTGTCCTCACTCTACCGTCGTCGCTCCTCAGGACTTCCGACACTCGTCCCAGCGGCCAGTCGTTACGGTGTTGTGATTCGTCTCGCACAAGAACGATATCTCCCACGCACAGGTCTCGCCGCGTCTCCGTCCACTTTTGTCGTGGCTGTAGGCTCTGCAAGTACTCTCTCCTCCACCTGGTCCAAAATTGCTCCGCAAGGAACTGGACTCGTCTCCATCGACGGCGCGCGTAGATATCTGTCCGCATGAACTGGCCTGGAGGGGGTGAGGCTGGGCGTGTCTTCATAGTGAGTAACATCGCAGAGGACAGAGGCTGCGGGTCATCGGTGTCGGGACGGCAGCGCTGCTATCGGCCTGGCGTTCACAATGGCTACAACTTCGGCCATCAGAGTCACCAGCAGTTCGTGTGTAAGCTGACTCTGGCCTAACTCAGTGAACATAGCATCCAATACACGGCGAATCGTATTAATCTGCCTCTCCCACACACCGCCAAAATGTGATGCATAGGGAGGGTTAAACTCCCACTTGCAACCGCACTCCGTTACGAACTTCTCCACTTTCGTCTCGTCTAACTCGGATGCTGCTGCGTCAAGCTCCGTCTTAGCTCCCAACGAAATTTGTACCCCGATCGCATCTGAGGAGTTTAGCATGGCCACGTAGTGCGAAGAACCTCCTCAATGCACAGATAAGGGCACTGGAGTCCATAGCTTCTAAGACTTCGATGTGAATGGCTCTGCTGCTTAGGCACGTGAACACTAGGCCCCAACGTTTGGCGTTTACTCCTCCTCCTCTAGTCTTACGTGTTTGCACCGCCCAGGGGCCAAAGACATCAAATCCTACATTGGTAAAGGGGGGACAGACTTCGGTTCTATCTAACGGGAGGTCGGCCATACGCTGTTCTAGGCGCGGTCCTCTCAGCTTCTTACATAGGACGCAAGCTCCGATGACTTTCGTGACTAAGTCATGGCCTCCAATAAGCCAGAAACCTGCTTGTCTAATTGCACCTCCTGTAATCTGTCTCCCTTGGTGGTGTACTTCATGATGATAGTGTTTAGCTATTAGCTGTGAGACATAGTGACACTTCGGTAGTACGATCGGGTGTTTCTCATTATACTCCATCTGTGCTCTCCTTAATCTAGAAACGGATCGAGACGGTACAGCTGCGAGCCTTTGAGAGCCTTCTTGGCGCTACTTTGGATTTCTCTCGGTAGCTCAGGTTCTTTTCTGGTGTCGCTTAACAACCCACTGAACGCTTCTCTCTGCGTGCTGCTGATTATAACGCGCAGGGCCTGATCCCATTCCTCGACTGTCGGGGGTCTGAGTTTGCCTTGTGTATTACGCGCTTTACTCCTGAGGTTAACTCTTTCTGCTTTAACGTCTCTCCGGTGTTTGAATTCCCTGACAATGACAATTAGGTTAGCGACTGCTCGCTGCAGAGACTTAAATGAAGAAAATTTCTCCAAGGTCTGGTTCTTCCTCTTCGTGCGTATTTACACTGGCGCTGAACACTGCTTTTCGGACTTCAGGGTCGCTTGCGACGAGCGCGAATGTTTCATTTGTTGGGAGGGTTCTCTCCGCTTCGCGTAGGAATTCCGGGCCTACTAGCCAGCTCGTCTCCATTAGCTTGCTTGAGGGAACTCCGCGCGTTGCTAGGTCTGCTGGGTTCGAATCAGTCTCCACATATCTCCACTGCTCCGGGGTAGACATGCTTCTAATCAGCTCGACTCGGTTAGCTACGTACACATAGAACCGTCGACTCTCGTTGGTAATGTAGCCAAGTACTACTTTTGAATCGGTGTAGTATATCACGTCAGAAATCCTCAGATCGATTTCTTTTATAACTT